ACAGAAAATGGACAAGCAACAGAAAAAATCAAAACCAAAAGTTAATAAAATTGGTGAACTTCTAGTAAGATTGAGGGGAAAAAAGAGGGAAACTAAAAATTAGCAATATCAGGAATAAAAGAGGGCATATCTCAATAGAACCTACATACAATAAAGAGTTAATAAGAGAATATTGTAATCAACTTTATGCCACTATAATCAATAGCAGATGAAATGAACAAATTCACTAAAATATAAAAAAACTGACACAAGAACAAGAGAAAGTTTGAATAACCGCGTATCTTTCTTTAAAACTGAATTTATAATCCAAAACTCCCCTACAACGAAAATTTCAAAATGCAGGCTGAAGTTTGTTCAGCCGGACAAACATCTCAGTGTTACATAAGGCCCCAAGACCACAGTTTTTTCACTTTATTAGATTTTTAGTGAATGGAAGAGAGGTATAGAGAGAGGAAGAGGAAAAAAAAAAAGTAAGAGACTCAATGACAGTTAAACAGATCAAGACAGAGTAAAAGAAAACAAAAAGACTTGGATAACAGTCAGACAGAACTTACAAATCAACAAAGACTAGATTATCTGCATTAATGGAATACAATAGGCAACCTGAAAATATATGGATTAGATTAGAAATGGATGAATAAAGGGGATTGTACTGTAAAAATAGGAAGCTGTGATAAAGTATAATAGAGCTACATTCTACTTCTTAGAATCAATTTCCCACGATTTTTAAACTATGAAAAAAAAAAATACCGACCCATTAAAAGTCACTTTGTCAGGGGTCACAAGCAGACCTCTAATTTACTACTATATGACAATCATTAAGAGAAATCAAAGCATGTTCATTTCTAAGCTATAAATAAAATCCTATTTGGAGAATTGATCCACTAGATTTTTAAAATAGGGCCACCAGTCTATCGACTGTAATCAACTATTTCTAAATACCATTTATTCAAATGGATTGCTGGTCAGGCCACACTTCCTCTCATCCTCATTAAGATCAAAGATTGCACCATGCTGCCAATGATGATTTCACAACTTAACACATCATTACCCACAGTGACTACATACTACAGTAAGATATATTACAGAAAAAACAAAGTCTGATCTAGGTTCTATAGAACTCTTACATATGAGCAATTTAGATGTTTGCTCAAAGCTTTACATGTTTGTAAATCACTTTTAGTTCTTATGAGGGAGAAACAGCAATAAAGGAGAAAACCACAAAAGCACGAATGAGTAGGAAATTCAACAAAGTTTTTGAAAAAGCAATCTTTCCCCTACCCATCCCCTTAATGTTCTAACTCCCACCGCATTAAAGAAATTACAAACTTTACAGAAAATGTTAAGAATTGAGTGAACAAATTAGAAACTCCATATTACCTGCCTTAGAGAATGCCCACAGTTTATACATTTAAGGCTGCTGCCAGCCAAGTACTCTTCTCACACCATCATTTTTATGAACATGACCCGACTTGGCAGAAATACTCCTATATCTCCCCAAAAAGAAAAGTCCCCAAAATATCTATAAAAATTATTTCTTGAAGAGACTAACTGTGCCTCCCACAACCTTTGACCTGATTTAAAAATGGGGCAGTTGTTAAAGTAAATAAAGAATTTAACACTTAAAAAAAAAGGATACTATAATACTTTGCTTCTCTGTTCTACAGCTTTGATTAAAACTTGGGTCCAAACATTTTTGACCTGTAAAGCTAAGTTGGCACACATCCCCCCTTCAAGGTATCATTAATATTTTAAATTAGAACAGCTAAGAAGAAAAAGATAGTTACGTTTAGTCATGTGCTTTCTTTTACTTTCATTTAGGATCCTGTTAGAAATTACAGTAATCTGTCTCATGTTCATCCTGTAACTCTCCACTGTCTTTCTCAATATCCTGGTTCACCTACTGCCACCTGAACTTCCATACGGAGCTAAATGCCTTCCTAGTCCCATTTCAACTGACATACCGCCACCAAACTGATCTTTCCAAGGCACACTCTGATCACACTGTCCCCACATTCAAAAACCTCCCATAACTTACAGCACTGTCTAAATTAAGAACACATTCCTCAGCCTGGCTTTCAAGGTCCTCCACAACCTGACCTAACACACCTTTGTAGTCCTCTTTCTTATAATTCTCCACCAGTTAACCTAAGCTCCAGCACATATCTCAGACTTTTCTGGGTCTGTACCTTTGTTTAGACCTTTCCCTCTATTTGGATGTACCTCCTCCTGGTTTCCTGTTGAAATCCTGTCCATCACTACAAAGTTCATCTCTACCACGAAGCGTCTCTTGTTTTCCTAAACCACATGCCTCCCTCTCTTCAATCTGATACCACTTTCTTTACAGCCCTCTTATGGCACTTCACTCAGACTTGTCTAATAGTCATTTATCTTCTCCTACTGGAATTGAAACTCTAAGGGCAGGATCTGTATTGAATAAGTGTTTCTGGATAAAATACAAAACCAAATTCTTCCGAAAGGAGGGGAAAAAAGGGCTTTATTATTAACAGAGCAGAACAAATTCTCCAACAAAAATTTGTAAAAATATATCCTGAAATCAACACCTTTACCAGAAGAGGAGCCATGCATTCAGACCAGTAAGGAGATATGTAACTGGGAGTAGTAACTGTAAAAGTACATGTTACTTTTCGAACACAGCAAACCAGTCCTTTAACTCCATCAAATGAATAATACAGTAATACAGTATGACTATGTTACAACAGTGCCTCCTTTATCTGATATAACTAGGATATGAGGGGTTCACAAAAGTGAGTTTTCTGGAGAAGTGGCTTCCTACTGAAGAAACAGAGCTCAGACATGCCTACAGCCTGAGCCAGCTGAGATATTCCTGGGAAACGGAATCCCCCCATCCTCCCCTTCCGCATACACACTTCACCCAGTCTAGCAGAAAACACACAGGCAGGGTGGGGAGATCCTTTTGTATAGTTACTCGCATCTGATAAATAGGTAGGCAGCATAGTGGAAGGGCAAGGAGGGTATTAAAAGCCCTATAAAATGACAAAAGGAATGTTTGCATGGCAGAATCCTCATTCCAAGTTGTTGGTATTATACATTGCATTTCCCTGAGAAACCTCGGGGAGTAGAGCAGCTGTTCTTCTGCCTTGGAACGAGTTATGTCATCACCTGCTGCAAAATTCCTTCCTCTTTGCCACTGAAAATATTTCACCTTCTAATTATTTCTGTTATGGGTTGAATTGTGTAACCCCAAAATACATATGTTGAAGTCCTAACCATGAATACTTCACAACGTGAACTTGTTTGGATATAGTGTCATTGCAGATGTAACTAGATGAGGTCATACTGGAGTAGGGTAAACCCCTAATGAAATAAGGAAGGCTGGAGTTCTCATTAAAACAGAAAATCTGGCCCTGGACGGTTTTTGCTCAGTGGTTAGAACATCAGCCAGCGGACCAAAGCGTCCCTGGTTCAATTCCTGGTCAAGGGCACGTACCTGGGTTGCAGATTGGATCCCTAGCCCCAGTCTGGGTGCATGCAGGAGGCAACTAATCGATGTGTCTCCCTCTGACATTGATGTTTCTTTTTTTCTCTCTCTCTCCCCCTTCTTCTCTCCCTCATTCCCACTCTCTCTCTAAAAAAAAAAAAAAAAAAAAAAAAAAAACAATGGAAAAAATATCCTCTGGCAAGGAGTAATGAGAAAAAAATTTTTTAAAAATCTGGACACAAGTACACAGGAGAATGCCATGTGAAGATGAAGGCAGAGATCAGGGTGATGCTTCTATAAGCCAAGAAACTGATGCTTCTACAAGCCAAGAAACTCCAAAGATTGGCAGCAGACCATCAGAAACTAGGTAACAGAACAGATTCTTCTTCCTCAAAGGAAACCAACCCTGCTAGCACCTTGATCTCAGACTTTTAGCCTCCAGACTGAGACAATAAATTTCTGTTGTTTTCAATGCCCAAACAAAATACCCCATCCATGGTATTTTGTTTGGGCATTCCTAGCAAACTAATTGGTGTCTACTGGTGTCTTTCCAGTTGTCATAGCACCAATCTACTATGACAACCATACACCTCTTTAAGAAACCAAACTTCTTAAGAATGATCAGTTACATTCAATCAACAAACACATATTGATGACTTCTATGTTCCAGGCACCAAGGACAAAGCAGTAAAACTGACATGGTCCCTGCCTTCATATAGGTTAGTGTAATTAGTATAATTGACCTAAATTATACAACAAAATTAATACACCTAAATTATACAACAAAAATACACCTAAATTATACAACAAAAAAATACACCTAAATTATACAAAAAAAAATTTGCAATTGTGGTAATAGCAATAAATGACACACTTCCAATAGAGAATAGCGGACATATTTAACCACATCTGAGTGACTCAAGGACATTGCTATGGAGGCCTATTGTACAGTTCTGTGCCCTTTTACTATTTTGCTCCCATCTACATGTCAGGTTGTTAGATACCATAAAGTCTGCTTTTACCAGCAACCCTCTTATATTCCTGCTCACCTTCTTTAATCCACTCATTTCTAATTTGAAGCCTCTAATTTGCTATAGGCTAGAAAAATCAGGTAACTAATATTGCTAAGAAACATACATTAAATAATAAAGACAGCTACAAGTGAGAACTAAAGATTGGGCTTTAATATGGGCTTTCTGATATACTTTAGATTCTCAGAGACACTTTTCTGACAGAATTCTGTTATAAAGCACTAAGGTGGAACATTATTCTTTATAAACTAGGTGTTACAGAGTAATTTTACTACTTTGGTATTAAATTGCCTGGCAAACACTTCTTTTCTTTAAAAGAGAGTATAGTGTGGATACTATGTAAACAGGTATAGAAGGAAGAAATACTGCCCAAGTTTGGAATTATATAACTTATTGCCCAGCATAAGGCATATTTTTATTATCTACTTGTGAATCAAATAACAGGAAGCATTACAACAGGAAGGTCCACCCAACGTTTTTTGCAGTACTTCATAAACACCACCTACCTCTTATGCATATCCAACAATCATCTTTTTTGTTGTGTTTTTTAAGTTCTTCTTCAGTTACTTCAATTAACCTGCCTTTTAATCCTGTTAAGTCCTTTCCACTTTTGGTCAGTCTAATCCAATCCATAAGACTTCTGCCCTGTTTTAGAGGTACCTAAAAAAGGAAAAGGGAAGAATTATATGTGGCTTCTTCAAGTTAGTTGATTTTTCTTCTCTCCTGCTGCGTGTCTTCAGGCTACTTCATTACTCTTATTCCCATTAAAAAGAATAAGAAAATGCAAATCTAACAATTTTATAAATATTCTTTATAGCTTTAGGAGATTGTCAAAATCATTTTCTTACAACTAGAATTAAAAACAGAACATCACATAAAATTCCTGGGCTATGAGGCAGGGCTTAGAAATTCTGTCACACAAATGTTCATCATAATGGTAACACGAACAGTATTAATCGTGGAGTCAGAAAACAGCTTTTGGTCCTGGCTCTGTCACTAATACATTATAGTCACTTACCAATTTGGACCAAAATTTCTTTGCCTTAAAAATCAAGAGAGATTTGATAGAAGAAAATATAAACAACTGGCCAAAATTGGTGTGTTTTTTTTTATTGTCAATATACACAGAACACTGGAAATCACTAGGCAGCAATTAATTTTCTAAGAATCCACTGAAAAACAAAGGTTATCAAATAATGGAAAATAATAACACTGTAACACTATACGGAAGGATTGGCAAATTGGCCCATGCCTATTTCTATAAAGCCCTTGAGCTAAGGATAATTTTCACATGGGTGTCCTTATGTGGCCCTCAAAGTCTAACTTATTTATTATCTGGCCCTTTGCAAAAAAGTTTGCCTACCCTTGCCCAGAGGATTTATAACAAGACTAGAAGCCCGGTGCATGAAATTCGTGCATGGGGGTGGGGGGGTGTCCCTCAGCCCAGCCTGCACCCTCTCCAATCTGGGACCCCTCAAGGGATGTCTGACTGCCTGTTTAAGCCCGATACTGGTGGGATTGGGCCTAAACGGGCAATCGGACATCCCTCTCACAATCCAGGACTGCTGGCTCCCAACCACTCACCTGTCTGCCTGATTGCCCCAAACTGCTTCTGCCTGCCAGCCTGATTACTCCCTAATCACTTCCCTGCCAGCCTGATTGATGACTAACTGCTCCCCTGCCGGCCCAATTGCCCCTAACTGCCCTCCCCTGCCAGCCTGGTCACCCCCAACTGTCCTCCCCTGCAGGCCTGGTCTCCCCTAACTGCCCTCCCCTGCAGGCCTGGTCACCCCCAACTGCCCTCCCTCCCCTGCGGGCCATCTTTGACCACATGGGGCGGCATCTTGTATATTGGAGTGATGGTCAATTTGCATATCACCTCTTTATTATATAGGATGTTTGGTTTCTTGTGTGTGTGTTTTTTTTCCCCCCAAATACATTTTCAAAACTTTTAGATGAGAAGTATTTATTAGTGTTCTAATCAGTTAAGACAACCCAGTAGAAATGTTCAAGACATTCCTATGGAATAGGACTACTATCTAAACTTGTATAACTAGTTTGTAACATAGGATCAGAGGGATATTTAATGTAAAAGCAGACACAGTCAAGGAAGTTTACTGTTACAGACTGAATGTTTGTGCCTCCCAACACCTAGCCAAATCCTTATGTTGACATCCTAAATCTTAACATGATGGTAATTAGGAAGTGAGGCTTTTGGCAGGTGATTTGGTATTAAGGACAGTGTCTTCATGAATGGGATCAATGTCCTTATGAAAGAGGCCTGAAAGAGATGCCTCAGTCCTTTGAAGACCAGGGAAAAGTCAGCTATGAAACAGGAATGAGGCCTTTATGAGACACAGAATTGGCCATTGGCTCGTGCATTGATCTTGAACTTCCCAGCCTGCAGAAATGTGAAAAATAAATTTCTATTGTTTATCTGCCACCTAGCCAATGGTATTTTGTTATAGCAGCCAGAACAGACTAAGACATGTACATACCTCACTTTCCTGAGTCATACCTATTTTAGGCATTTATTTACCCCCAAAATAACCAAGTTAACAGGTCTATGGTGACTTTCTAATTTTATATTCCTTCCTATCAACCTACATCATCTCATCCTTGCCATCACTGAATCTGTCTAGGTCATTTGTTCCCAATAAACAAAGTAAAGGGTAAGATTATGACCTTTCCCATCCCAAACCAAATTCACTTGTCTCCCTTGTCTGTGTGGATTCCATACTCTACATGGTAGTTAAAAGCAATCTTTTGAAAATGCTAATCTAATCATGGGCTCTCCCTCCTTTGTTGGTGGCTCCCTACATTACCTTCTAATGATGTCTCTAAATTTCCTACAGTGGTTTACCAGGCCCTTCAGAAGTGGTCCTAGCTTACCTCACTAGCTCCATGGTTTAACTTTGCTCCTTCCCATTTATACGTTTTAGCTAAATGGGAAAATGGAAACAGACTCCTTGACTGCGATGAAACACTTGCTCCATGCCTGGATCTATCACCCCACTCCACCGCAGACATTATTTCCTCCAGAAGCCTTCTCTGACCCCAACTTATCATAACACACTATTACAGTATTTATGGCATTTATAACTGCCTGTTTACTAGTCCATGCAGCCTACTAGAGCAAACTCCTTGAAAATAGAGACCTATCTGTAGAATAAGGTAGGTTCTCAGTAAATATTTATTTACTAGTGTTAGTAGAAATAATAATAGCTAGCAAATACTGAGTGCATACTTTAGCCAGGCACTGTGCTAAGGGTTGTACACAACAATCCTTGATACTTAAATAAAAGATGAGAGGTATTTAGTTACATTTAGTGAGTGCTTTCAGTATACCAAAACTGTGCTACAAGAAACATTATCTCACTTAATCCTATAAACAACCCTATAAAATGGGTACTGTCATTGCATTTACACCTGAGTCAAAGAGGTTAAGTGGTAGAGCTGGGAAAAGAATCTGGGTCTTTCTCATTCAAAAGTCTGTGGTTGCCCAGCCGGTGTTGCTCAGTGGTTGAGCATCGACCCATGAACCAGGAGGTCACAGTCTGATTCCCAGTTGGGGCAAATTCCTAGGTTTTGGGCTCGATCCCCAGTAGGAGTCATGCAGGAGGCAGCCAATTGATGATTCTCTCTCATCATTGATGTTTCTTTCTATCTCTCCCTCTCCCTTCCTCTCTGAAATCAATAAAAACATATTTTTTAAAAGTCTCTGATTTTTAACTATTATGATATACAACCTCCCCAACTAGGTTCTATTTCTCAGTCCACCCATTTCATACAATCCTGACTCAGCTTCTAACATGTTCAAGAGTAGCTTGTTTCACAAAGAAAAAACAAAAACAGTCTTAGCTTCCCTTTGAGTTGCACAATAATCTTATTTTGTTCTCTTTTTTGGACCTAAAGATTCACCTTTGCCATCACCACCTGTGAATCTTTTGTCTTTGCCTCTAAATTGTCTCCTTTAAATGGATATTGAGAAAATGATTAGTAGTTTTAATGGAGAAGGGCAGAAACTTATCATCTAATTCATAGATTCTTTCTCTGGAAAGGCTATCCTATTCAAACATTTAGCTTAATGAACCTCGTCCAGCACAGCCAGGGGTGAACCTGAGGAGGGGCAGTGAAGGATTAAAGAAAACAGACAAGAGAATACAGTTGGGACCAGGTGGATCACTGCCTGGATGAGGAAACAGTGACCCAGCCTGCAAGCCCAACTTTATAGTCAGATCACACAAAGCAAAACAAGGGAGTGGTCAACATGTTTACAATGCTATTTCAAGTTTCCTTACTCAAGCCTTGTTTTGGCAGCACTTGCTGCACCTCCCGCAGCCCATTAGCTACCTAGGAAGGAACAAGGGAGAACTATAAGGTCAAGCTTAATTGTGCTAGGAGGGCTCTGCCCTTCAAGCTGGGACTTGTATGTGGCTCTGCCACAGGTCAATCCAAGGCTTGACCCTATAGCCGCTCCCTACAGCTTAAGAAGAGAAACAGGTCAAATATCAAGGAAGAGGGGACAAATAATTAAATGGCTAGATGACATGTGGAACAATAAATAAAAAACCACAGCCACAGAGTCACATCACATCAAGCCTGTAAGATCTAAGGCAACATTCTTCACCAGATTCCTTTTCTGTGAAATGGAGATAACAAATGCATCCACTTCATAGGATCATTGTAAAGAGTAAACGGGTGAATACAAGTAAAGCAATGAGAACACATGCAGTGGTTCTCAACCTTCCTAATGCCGCGACCCTTTAATACAGTTCCTCGTGTTGTGGTGACCCCGCAACCATAGAATTATTTTCGTTGCTACTTCATAACTGTAATTTTGCTACTGTTATGAATTGTAATGTAAATATCTGATATGCTATGTGTGTTTTCCGATGGTCGCGACCCACAGGTTGAGAACCGCTGACTTAGAGCATACATGGCCATCAGTAAGCACTGAATAAATCTCGGCTGTACTATTATTATAGTTGGGTTTACAGACTTCTGAAAAGCTAATGAGAGCTACAGATCCCTGAACCCATAATTCTGATCTAGAGTCAAACTCCAGGTCTTAGTAGAGAAAGAAAGAGAGGAAAGAGAAGGAAGAGAAGAGAAGAGAAGAGAAGAGAAGAAGAGAAGAGAAGAGAAGAGAAGAGAAGAGAAGAGAAGAGAAGAGAAGAGAAGAGAGAAAAGAGAAGAGAAGAGAAGAAAAGAAAAAAAGGAAAAGAAAAGAAAAGAAAAGAAAAGAAAAGAAAAGAAAAGAAAAGAAAGAAGAGAAAAGAAAAGAGAAGACGGTGAAGGTCCCAAATGATGCTAAGCCCTAAGAGCCCATAAATGAAAACGGAGTGGTCCAAGCAGGTGTAAGTCTCAAAAACAAAACACGATGTGGTTACAGAATGAGGAACCATCAAATAGCAGGAGCCAGCAATTCATGTTGCAATGAGCAAAGGAGACGATGTTATTAAATCTTGCAAATGTAAAATACATTGTATTCCACCTGTTGCTAACGGTAACTAGGTTCAACAAAAACTTAAAGGGGATATTCGCTTCGAAGTCATCAAGTGTTATCTGTAGAAAAGGCGGTGATAAAAAACAACACAAAAACTGAAGTCCCAGAGGAAGAAAGAAGGGCAGTATGACTTCGACAAGGATAAGGCTCCGTAAACCGGAGGTTTGCAGACATGCGGTCTCCCTTCTCCGATCTCCCCGAGCTCGGGGAGCCCCCACCCCTGCAGGGACAGTCACGGGTCACTGTCGCCACTGCCCAACCTTTCCCTTCCGCTGGGACCCCCATCCCTCAGAACTCCCCCAGAAAGAGAACAAAAGACCAGAGAGGAGGACAGGTTGAGGGGAGGAACCCAATACTCAGTCCCTATATGCAGGATGCACAGTGCCAGGCCTGTCATTTACATCTGAACTTAGTCCGCGGGGAGGCTTGGAAGAAGGGAACGGACAGGACGGGGTAAAGGCTGGGAAGAGAAGCGACTAGGAGGGGAGAGGGGGTCAGGAGAGTTCGAGGGCTGGGGCAGCCTGGGATCAGAAAGACTGCCAACTAGGAAAGGAAGGGCCGGCGGTGAGAACCGGAGGTGGGAGAGGGGAGGAAGGGGAGAAGGGGCTGTGCGGGAACCCGAAGCGCCGCGGGAGGCAAGCGCTGAGCCGGACGGCCCGCTGCTGTCAGCCGCTTACCTTGCTACGCCCCCCGGAGGCGGCGCGCTGCTGCGAGCGGGGGGCTGGGAAAGACTGGGAAGGGATGTTCAGCATCCTGGACCCCCGGCCCGGGCCCTGCCTAGGGTCCGCCGCTGGACGGGATCGCTCGGCCGGACCCCTCCGGGGTTACACCTCCCGCGCCGGCTCCGAGGCCGGGCAGAGGCCAAGCCCCCGACCCACTTCCGGGGTCGCCCGGGGTGAGGCGCGCCATGACGCAGCACGTCGAGTCGCGGAGGGCGGGGCCAACGTGACGGACAGGGAGTTAGCTGGGGAGGGGACGCGGAGCCAGGGGAAAGTACGCATGCTCCGTTAGTTCTGCCTGAACTTCAGCACCGCGGGGACGTGACAGCTATTCTGCGTAAGATAAGAGTGAAGCTGTTCCTTAGCCTTGGTGCTGACCGCATCTAAGACCAAATGCTTGCGGACTCACCCACAAGTGTCTGTCCGTTGTTAAACAAGCACTACCATTACACAACTTAGAATTCTGATTTCTCTGAAACCCTCTCCTCTACGGCACCAAGCTGTACAGGAAAGGGGAGCTTTAAAAACCAAGGTGTCAAATGCAAACAGCCACTCCTGTGAGGTGAAGAGAAAACTTCACCTTTAAGAACCCCCGCTAATGACTGACATTACGAGTCAAAGACGTTAGTAAAGTCTTCTGCTCCATTCGCCTGCTCATGAGTTTTCCCTCTTCAGCTAACTTCCTGCCTTCCCTGAAAGATACAAGGAATTGTATACTGATGCAGCCCACCCCCAATTGCAGTATTTAAGAGTCAGGTTATGCAAGGTACTTTAGTATCTCAAAGCCTGATTTTCCCATCTGCATAATGAATTTATGTTTTAGTAAGGATTAAATAAGATGATGTAAACTACATAAAACAGTGCCTGGTTAAAAGAAGGCACTCAAACATATCCTTGGGTATATAAGTTAATTTGTATTTTCTTAAATTCTGTATACATGGTATATAAATATGCACTCTTTGGTGGCATCCAGCTTTTTTCATTCAGCATGGTGATTTTGAGATACATTATATTGTGGGGGGATAAGGGCACATATGTAATACCTTAATCAAAAATAAAAAATAAAAGAAGGCACTCAATAAATGGCAGTGGTTCTTCATACTATTCCAACATATCGATGAGAAGCACAAATACCATGCAGGTAAACAACAGTCTCTAAGTCTCAAGGTTTCAGATTGGAGACCTGATGAATATTTTCCTTGGGGAACACACACATCTGAGAACAGAATGCAGCGAAGGGAGAAAGTTTTCAGAAGAAATATAGTTCTAAATAACTCTCCACAGCCTCATTCCATTACTAACTTTTCCTGAGTCTGAACTATGGTTTGAACTTGCCCTATATCAATTGCCTTGTCCTTAAAGTGTCTGTAAATTAATGTCTGTCATTTTTTTCAATTAGACAGGAAAATGAGGAAATATAAGTAGCCATTCAAGTAAGAGGCATTTCTTAGCTAGGTAACCATCTCAGACCTTTACCTCTGCCTATTATCGTTCTGAAATATTGCAGAAACATTCTTTATTTGCAATTGAAATGTTTATTGTGAAAAAAATTGTATTTGAGCTAAAAGGAACTTCATTCATTACCATAGTTTATTGTTACCTTTACCTTGCAAAGTACTCTTTTTCTCTCACATTAAAAGAGTTGTATTCTTCTATAAATCTACTTTAAAACACTAATCCCTGAGAATTTCTTATTTCTCTTTCCATAAGAAAATGCTTTCATGAGAATATCAGAGCAGACAACTATAGCAAAGGAAGGTGATGTTGTTGGAGAATGTTTCATATCTGCCCAAATTCCCCCTTGGAGAGAAAGTAGGAAAAACACTATCAGACTCTGACCTTTTGGCTGCCCTTTTTAGACTCCATGTAAGTAATGCCCATTTAGACATTTTAATTCTAGGGATTCCTCAATGTACTGCCATAAGTATTGAACACCCATGCTATTTTATTACTGGATTTAAGGACAGCAGAAGAGTATTAAAGAGAGAATTACTTGACTCATCATTCATTAAAAATGCCTAAAATTTAATAGTCCTAACACTAATTCCATTCTCAATTACAGACAATGATTTAAAGTGTTTTTCACCATCTGCTAGCAAATACATAATAATAATGTGTAATTGGGACATAAGGTGATTTTCTTCATTATCAAATAATATTCATCTGTAACTACAATATCCAATGGAAATCGATAGGAAATAGCAGATGTTACAAGATTCAGTTTGAAAATATTGTCATTCTATGCAAAAGTATAACTAAATATTTGCAAAATTATTACTAGAGATAAACTTCATAGTTTGAGATCAAAATTACCTTTTGTAAGCTCCAAATGTTTACAGTACAATCAAGATATTTGTAAATGGCACCTACTTTTAAATTCCAGCATTGAATAACAGTGTAGGGATTTTTTAAAAAGGCCCAACTACTATAGTACTTACAAAATATTCATTTTATTAATAATTTACATACAAATAAATAAATTTAAAGAATTATGATATATTTGCACACTAAATTTAAATCCTACAAATGTTTAATATCATCAAAAGTAACTAATCAGATTAATTTTCACAGACCAGTTCCTCAATTTCATCTTCACTATCAGAATCTTCATAAAATGAAATTGTGGCTTGAATTGGAAAAGTTTTCAGAAGAGCTTCTGCTTCTTGATATAAGTAATCATAACACTTTGATTTTTGGCCAAAATAGTCTGAAAAAAGCAGACAACATAATACACTTTTATCTTTTTTATATTTAGAATCCTTCTACTCATGAAATGTTCAAAGTCAAGAACTCCATGTATTTTTAACAATTGATTTAGGAATTTAGACACAGTCTTAAGATATAGGTTTAAAAGTCTTCTCTGTCTCCTTTGCGGAGCTTCTTTCTCTGTATACAGGTTAGGTGTTGGCCTTCCCCCATGGTTTTATCACAAGTGATCATCTCCCCTCTTGGACTCCCCAGAATGACCTGATCCACTGCCATGATTTCTCCAAAGCTCCCAAGTCTGCCTTTCCACTTAAGAACTTGATGATGGGTCCCTGAATTACATAGGCAGCTCCCTAATGGGCATTGCCACTGGGATGCCCCATAGGCACATTAAATACCATAAATGGAAAATTGGACCCATTATCTTGCTCCCCAAATCTGTTTTAGCCCTAATTTCCAATCTGTTAGTAAGTACAGCATTCAACCTGGTCATAAGCCACAAACTAGGGAACCATTCTGTCTTTTTACCTCTTCTTCATCTACCATATCCAGTACATTATAAGCCTAAATCTACTGTCATCTAGGTATACCCCAAACTCACCCAGTCCCATCCCACACCTAAAGCCTTAGAATGGCTCTTTATCATTCTTGTCTGAACAACTGCAATGCCTTTCAATTTCACGTTGGTGTTCTAAGACTACTAGTGTATACCATTTCCTGTGTGATTTTTCTGAAATATAAATCTGACCACACTACTCTTCTGGTTAAAATCCTTTGAGTAATCCCCAATACTACCTACAGGATCAGGGCAAAACTCTGCACCAAGGTGCACAAGATCTGGCCTCTGGTTTCCTTGCTGGAATGACCACAGCTTCACACACCCAAATTCCAGCAACTTGATGCTCCCAGAGGAGCCATGCTGTTCCATGACCCTGTTATCTCTCTCCCTATGCTGTTTCTTCTGGCCCTGCCTTCCCCACCTACAAACATTTGGCTAACTTGAAGACCACAACCTATAATACACTTTCCTGACTCTTCCCCACTCCCCACTTCATGCCCTGAAGTGTAACACTGACCCAATTGAACTCTCTCACAACACTTCCCAGGGGGCCATGATTATTTTTTTCCTGTGTCCTGCACTAGTGCTAGCACATGGCAGGAAATTAAGCAACATGTTATTTATAAACACATAGCCAGGCTGGCGAGTTACAAACATCATATAGCTCTTCACCTAACAGCTCTCTGAAGCAGGCAAACTGCAAAATTAACCTTTTACCCGAATAAAAGCTACAAAGACTCCTTCAAAAAGGCTGACTTCTGTGATTAGAATAGGAAACTAGCTCCTCATTGTTATGCCCTACAACTTGTGATCCCTTTTATGACCCTCAGGGACCTTTAGAATTTTCATCGCATTTCCATTTTCTCTTATGGTAGCAAGCTCCCTTTGCTCCCTTTGCTATGAAACTGCAACTGTGAACATCTTTCTTCCTTCTGGTTTGCAGGAGAATAAGAATATATACACTTTGCCTGGTGTGAAGTCAATTGCATTCGGACCCCTTGACCTTAAAAAGCAAACAACTTTTGCAGGCACAAGATGTCAACGTTCAACTTTTACTATATCGTCGTTCACTTTCCCTATTTATACAATATTCCTTAAGCCTCTTACCGAGGACGCGCTGATTAGCAGTTCTTCTAAGTGAGAGTGTGAGTGCCTACATTTTTCAATTCGATGAGTTAAAAGACCCCTGGGACTGGGAAGATAAAGTAACCTTGAAGATACTACCTACAGGATTTTCCAATAGAAAAACTGCAGGACCAGCTGCTGAGCTGGGCCGTGCAAAGTCCCTGGCTCTTTCCAGGGGCTGGAGCAGCAGGAGACCTTAGGTTTGGCCTGTCACTCACCTGACTGGGTGCCTGTATCGCGAAAGCTTTCCAGCGGCTTCGGTCATCCCGGGCATCTGGAGACGTAAGGAGATGCATCATAGTTATCACTCACCTTTTTCTAGAACCTGGAAACTCGCGGGACCAAGCCTTCCTCGCGCCCTCAGGGAAAGTGACCCAGGGCTCTCTGCAGCCTCGCTTTTGGCCCGATCCCCGTGTCGCAATGGCTCTCGCCTCATCAGCAGCCACTGGTAGGACCCCCGCAGGACCACCAGCAGGCGCGATCTTAAGCGAGGGACTGGCCGGGCGCGTGTCTCCCTCGGGCCGGCGTTCCCAGCCCTGGAGAACTATCTGCGCCCCTCGGAGGCGCGGCCAGCCACGCGCGGCTCACTCACCACCTCCTCGGCGTGGTGCGGGGCCTCCTCCTCCTGCTTTCCTCGTGCGTCAACCCACGGTCTCCAGAAGCCTCCGGATCTGCGAGTGGGGAGCAAAGACGCGCAGAGAGACATGAGCCCAGACTCGGCAGGAACCGATCGCTGCCGAGCGTG